ATACGATCAATGTAGGGGAAAAGTAGCTTCCGATCTCTCTTCAAAGATGGTCTTGCAACTATTGGACTTCAAATTCTGATTTAAGGCAAACCTGTTTTGTACAGGTTTTTTTTATATATATATATATATATATATATATAAATGTTAGTATTGCCGCCTATACATTTCTAGGAATATCATTGGTTAAAAGCTCACACTTGAAGACCCTGTGTTTTTTAATATTGAGTTAGTAGCAGTGTTACGTTCTTTTGTAAAAAAAAAAGAAGAAAAATCTGAAACGTTTCGCCAAAACAACAGATGAAGAAATTAATGATGAACGAATGAAAATAAATGCAGGAAAAAACATTAAAGCAAACAAGTGACTATTGTTGGCATTTGATTTTCTATAGACCAATAGTTGGTTTTTTATATTAAAAACTTTAATAGGCCACTAGGTCTAAATGCCACATGTTAAGATAGTCGGCAAGAGAAATTCGTTACACAATGTGTAAGTGACCTAATACGATATATATGAGGTCAGTAAATTCCATGTATATCGTAATAGGTCACTATTACACTGTGTAACTAATAGTATTGCTACTTACAATTGACTAGAAACCATGATCGCCCCGTATCCTTATTCCTTTCGTGGTGCAAAATCTCTCTAAATATCTGAAAACCATATGATAAGCAGTTCAATGTAAAATGTGAACATTATATCTTTGATAATCATGTCACGTGTTTATAACGAACCAATTTATGCGTCCAACTTATGAAGTACATGTATGAACAAAACAAGTACTTTTGAGAAGTGAAGTTTGGTACATGTTTCAAATCATTATTTTTTTAAATCTGAAAATTTACGTAAATACAAATAATGTTTAGTAAAATATAAATAAGAAGATGTGGTATGAGTGTCAATGAGACAAATCTTCATCCAAGTCAAGTCACACTGTATAAAAGGTTAACAATTATAGGTCAAAATACGGCCTTCAACACTGAGCCTTGGCTTACACCGAACAGCAAGCTATAAATGGCCCCAAAATGACAAGTGTAAAACAATTCAAACAGGAAAACCAACGGTATTATCTATATAAAAAACGAGAAACGAGAAACACCTATGAATCACACCAACAAACGACAATCACTGAACAACAGGCTCCTGACTTAGGAAAGGTGCATAAAAATGCAGCGGGTTTAAACGTTTTAACAGACGCCAACCTTCACCCTAACCTGAGAAAATAATGTAACATTACAACATAAAAAGACACACTATAAAATATCAATTGAGATGGCTCAACTCGATCAAAAAGACATTTAAACAAAAAACAAGCAAACACATTTGTTTGCACCTGTCCTAAGTCAGGAACCTGATGTTTAGTGGTTGTCGGTTGTTGATGTGGTGCTTAAGTGTTTCTAATTTCTCGTTTTTTATATAGATTAGACCGTTGGTTTTCCTGTTTGTATGATTTTATACTAGTCACTTTTTGGGCTTTGAGAGTTGTTTATTGGCACTCATACCACATCTTCTTATATCTACACACTGAACGCATTAGTGTGATCCATAACACAATATAAATACAATATAAAAACGTAGGTGATTATATAACATAGATGCAACAAGCAGTAACAAAAATGATGTAGGAACAGTGTCACAAAAGCAACTCTATATAAATAAGAAGATGTTGTATGAGTGCCAATGAGACAACAGTCCATCCAAGTCACAATGTATAAAAAGTACGGTCTTCAAGTTTGGCTTTAACCTAACTCTAACCTGGGACAAATGGCGTTAAATAAAACAACGTACACAGGTAAATTTAAATATAATAATTTTGTTATTAGGAGTACGGAAGTAAACATTTTCAACAAAATAAATAAATTTGTTTTTCAGAGTACGAGTACAGAAATGAAAATTTATCGTCATACTAAATACTAATCAAAGGTGGTACATATTAAAAATATTGAGACGAGATAAAACACAAAATAAGTAAACATTCCCCGTTTCCATTCTCAATTTTATTGAATTACAGAAATGCATTACAAATTGTGTCAAAAGGTCAAATTAACACGAAAATACGATTTGAAAGTACTCGCAGTTACTGAAAGCTAGTTAAAAGCCAAAAACAATTAACAATGAAACTGTATGCATCAGAGACTAAAATAATTAAAACACATCCCAGGGAGTTAGTGCTTAAACGTCATTAACAGTCAAAGAAGCATTTTTGCGCCTGTCCCAAGTCAGGAGCCTCTGGCCTTTGTTAGTTTTGTATGTTTTTTTTTAAATTTTAGTTCTATTATATGTTTCGGAGTTTAATGTGACGTCCATTTTCACTGAACTAGTACACATTTTTGTTTAAGGGTCAGCTGAAGCCCGCCTCCCGGTGCGGGATTTCTCGTTGTGTTGAAGACCCATTAGTGGCCTTGTGCTGTTTTATGCTCTATGGTCAGGTTGTTGTCTCTTTGACACATTTCCCATTTCCATTCCCAATTTTATCGCTTGTGCAATGTCAAAACTAAAGTATCTATAGGCAGTAGGATCGTTAGGATTTAACCTTATAATAAATATGTATCATGTGATATATAGATAAAACAATCTCTAAATAGAAAATAAACGTGGATGTGTATTTATACATCCCAAAACCCATTCTATAAGAATACAAATTTAGTTATGATTTAATTTGATGATGACAAAATCGATGTTAGTGCCAATGTAAACATTATTCAAAGATCTTATTACAACATTAATAATATAACCTTTACTAATAAGTTTGTTTAAAGGTTCGATGAGTTTACACGGATCACATAGTAATTTCCGCGCTTTTAGTACAATATTATCGTAACCAGCTTATTTTCTATGGCTTTCCAAGAATTTTCATAAAAACTTTGCCCTCAATACAGCCACATTATCAATAACTAACAGGTTCCATTGATGTAGAACTATAAAAAGTAAAATCACAAAAATACTGAACTCCGAGGAAAATTCAAAACCTCAAACACATCAAACGAATGAAAACTATTGTTATATTCCTGACTTGGTACTGGCATTTTCGTATGTAGAAAATGGTGGATTGAACCTGGTTTTATAGATAGCTATTTTAGATCAACTTTCGAAATATCAACGTTAACGTATGAACAATAAGTGGTAAAGACAATACTAAAGCATATCACTTATGAGGCTAGATAAAGATTTTGGAAGACAATCATTTAATTTGTAATACGGACACATAACACGCTTCGAAAACGAATACAACACGTTCTATATTCAAATAGCATATCCGAATTATCAATTTGACGACAGTTGCCTTCTTTTCTATAAACTTATATTAAAATCAAAATTAAGTAAGGATTAAACCACCTCAAAACCTTTCATCACAGACTTCCAAAGCAAGACTAACTTACATTTTCTTGTGATCTTCAATACTGGCAGAAATTTTGGAATTTTTTCACCACAACCCTGTTATAATTAACATACAAAATGAAGGTCAATTATTTTCACAAATGATATAAGAAATGTATCCCTTTGTTACACAGCCTATGCCCAAGATATAGGTTTACTGTAGGAGCGATGACATAGTTGGATTTATCGATCGAGTTCTTCATTTACCCTTATTAGTCTCAAGTCATTTATGGTTGGATATATTGAGCGATTATCAGAGAATTTGAGTCACCAAGTCAGTCAAACAAAAAAACAACTTATCATATTGCTGTGATGTCAATATTGTATCAAAAACCAGTCTTTAAATGGAAATGAAAGATAGCAGCAAAAGTTGAATATTCTTATCAATATAGCATAATATAAATAGAGATTTTTGAAAGTAAAAATTATTAATATCATATGCATATCATGCTTTAAAACAAATTTCAGGAAACAACGTTTAGGAGAGATAACAATTTCTTTTATTTACACGAAATTATTTATTTAGATATATATTGATAACTAAAATATGATTAGCCATTGATAGTGTGACAGAGTAACACTGTCTTTACATTTCTATAGGGGTTAAGCAAACTGTTTTTTCGTCTGTTCGCACTAAAAATGTTTGCTTCTATTAATCATGGTTTTTGGCTGTCAACCAGTTTTTCTTTTGCTTATTGTTTTAATGGCCACGAAAATAGTCTTATTTGATAGGTCTGTTTATCGATTCTATTAAAGACCTTCAGATTTTTTCTGATTACTTTTTTCTGCTAGGTCCGCCGTTTTTGTTTCGTAAAATTAACTCTTTTCCTTAATTCACTTTTGTTTTATAAAATTCAATTCTGCTTGGCAATATGACGACTAAATATTTGGTATATATGATATCGAATCATCATTGAACCAAATCACCCTAAGACCATGTTGTTTTTCACATTCCCTCCGTTACCAATAAAAATATCGACCAACTAATCTTTGAAATTCAGTTTTTACCGAAGCCATATAAGGACATCTTATTGTAGTTATTTCCCCTTCCAATATTTTACTAAGCTGTGCTTTTGTGTTAGTTATATGCCGATTACCTTATTTTTTATTTGATAGTGTGGGCAATAACTTGGCAACAAAAGTCAAGGTCAATAGTAAATGCAATGTTCTAAAGGTTGACATTTGCTTTTTTTTTTTTTTTTGCATTCCTGCAGAAAGCATTGACGATAGGTGCAAACAAACTATTGCAAAATGTTTTGTTAATTGAGATTGAGGTTTGGTACGTTTTTGCAAAGCGATGCTAGGAAATCTTGTTAGGGTTATCTACCCTGGAATGTTTAATTTAAAGATGTTTTGATTATAACCCTATAATGAGGCATGATAAAGCCCTATGGGCTTCTGTATAAAGTTTCGGTGTTTGGTAGATGGCTGTCTCATTGGCAATCAATCCACATTTCCGTGTGTTTTATGTCTGAACAATCATTTAAAGACTATTCAAGAACATTAGGAAGATCACAAAAAGCGCAAAAGAAAATTCATTCAGCCAAAGAAATGCTAGACATGAGTGTATAAGCTCTCGTATACTTTTCAGAAATCGTATGTGTTCAATAACAACACAATAGCAATCATCAAAAGTTGTTTATTTTATTATTTCTCACAGATATAACCACTGCTCCATGACGGATAGTCACAGTATACATCGTGAAAGATATATCTTTCTCCTGCATAAAACATCATGCAGTCTTGTGGGCTAGGATTTGATCTCTCAGGTTGACCAGAACCAAAAGCCTTGTACGCCATCTTGATCATTTTGCCGTTTTTTATCCATCTCTAGTCTCCTCCATGGACGTATCTGTTTATGTTTCGCCCGCCAACATGGAAGTGTAAACCTTGAAAAATAGTCACGTGTTCATTTAATACCTTGACATTCTTACAGTGCCATAAACAGTAACAGTGTCATTTAGATAAACAGTTTTGCGAATATTCTACGCAATTATTCGCTAATACTGTGTGTGACAAATAAAATACCAATCTATACCAACATTAGCATAAAACATGACATTAAAACTACTTTCAGATCAATCAAAGCTGGCGTTAACTGTAGCTTAATTGTCTGTTTAAAGCAAAAAAAAAAACACCATGAAGAGGACAGAAATATAACAACAAAACAGTCTAAGGATACCTTTGCTCTAAAAAATAGACTCCTAGTTTTCCTTGAAATTGCAAAGCAAAACTATTAAACGTAATGACAAGTCTTAATATTTAGAAAAGTTAGATAATGAACTTTCAATTGTATTTTTAGACGCCATATAAGTGCTTTGATACGTTCTACTGTAACAAAGATATCTTTGCGCATAAACATTTATTTACAGTGATACAATAAAAGACCAACAAACTGTTCCAGGTAAAGGGCAGGGCTGAGCGCTGACAAACTTGTCTTATCCCGTCACATTATTCATTCGAATGTCCCAAATTATTATACTGTAATGCAATGGTTGTCGTTGGTTGCTATCCATATTGTTTTTTAATTCATTGTATCATAAATCATGAGGTTGGTTTGTCGTTTGTATTGTTTCACCGTCTGTCATGCCGGGGCCTTTGATACTTTATTATACAGTATTGGTTTTGCTCATTGTTGAAAGTCGTACATTTACCTACAGATGCTTATATCCTCCTCTTTTGGTCAATCATTATGATTGATAAATGCCTCATTGGCAATATTACCACATTTTCTTATTTTCAATAATGAAACAAAAAAATTACAACTTTAATGATGAGTGTACCTGTTTTCATTAGTTGAAGTTCATACTTCAATAACATGGCCTCTTCTAGAGTCTCAAAATTAGCTAGGTATGCACCACGTCGTAAACACAATGCCTAGTAAAAATATAGTTTTAATTTTGTATTGTAAAAATTGAATAAATTTTTCAGAGTCAGAATGAAAGTGATAGTCATCCATAAAGCCCCTTGAAGGGGATAATGATAACGTTATTAACAGGCTAATTAGATTCAGATTTATTGATTACATCCAATAATTGTAATTCATATTTGAATATGAAATTTATGTTTTTTCGGGTAACCATGGTCGTATTTTTTTTTACAATTTGAGCATATAATAGTCTCCTTTTTTTTTGCACCATTTACCACTATTACGCCCCTTTTCTTCGGACCATTGATCCTCTCTTGCTCAAGATCAAATGTTTGAATATAAAACATAACAAGGGTATGGAGCCTCAATACATTAATTCATTATTTATTAAAGCAGGATCTATAAACTTACAAATGCTTGATCTGGAGTCACTTTCTCCTTGCTGATTAAGTAACAGCTATCCCCTATTGTCCGAAATGGGTACCTGCATTTTTCTGGAAAGAAAAAGGGAACTCATGACGACATTTTTAATCACGTTTCTTTCATACAAATAAACCAATTCCCATGCCTTTTTCAATAATTAAAAACAATGTTGTTCTTTTCTTGGCTGTAAGACGCATCATTTGATTCCAATTTGTTTGAAAACAACCCAGGTTTTTTTTAAAATATTAGTGCCGTCCTCTTATTTAAATAAACACTATTGTAACGCTATGTTTGTGATCTTCGTGCAAACAGTTATGTTTTTTTTTTAATCCTAATTTTATCAATTTGGAAAAGTAAGTGACAATTATTTTTATGTATAGTTGATAGATATTTGACGAGCTACATGTATCTTCTTTAAAGTTTTAATAAAACGTATATATATACGAAGATCTGGAAGTATAAAAATTGAATGCTCCCGCGCTTCTTGCAAAAAGTAAAGGTTAATTTCTTTCATTTTGTATAAATTTATAAAAAAAACAGCACTCAATTGCAATTTTATTGATCAAAAATCTGTTAAAACACTGAAGTGTTGGGCTGTTGAACCTCTCTTTAAACCATGTATACATTGATTTTAGTGCGAGGTACGATAATTTATATATTAACTAATGCTGCAGAAATATTAGTTGAATTTTTTATGCAAAAATAATTCCATAAGTTTTTGTGTCAGAATATTTTTTTTTTTAACAGCCTTTGGGAAGACTATGAATTTATAACAGCTACAATGGCTTTTAATGTTTTTCAAATGCTTGTCCCTGTACGGAACATTCTGTTTTATTAATCCTTCACAGCTACATCCTTAAAGCATTCCAAGGAGTATCTACACTAAGACCAGCAGTAAACTGAAACTACCTGCATTTATTCGATTTTACTTGTATTTGAAAATACCGAGCATCAAGGTTGGCGTTTGCAAAACATTATCTGAATTATGGATTTTCGCTATATATTAACAGTATACATCTTATAGATATTTTACTTTGAAAATTGACATAAGATTTGCTTCAGTGATTTCTTTTGAAATTCCCCAAACAAAAGTGAGTACGGCTGAATCGATTTGGAGTCCGTTTATCATCAATTTAATATTCGAACTGGGCAGCGAAATCATCGAACTGCTTAAATCTCTCCTATTAACTACTGTACAAATTGAAAATCAACTTTAAAAACAAAGTCCGTTACCATTAAATACATAATAAATTCCACTTCTACTAACATCTTAGATCTTTTCTACCTCAGGAATAAATTATATTAGCTGTATTTGGCGAAATCGTTTTAGAATTATAGTCAACAATGTTCTTCAACTTCGTACTTGATTTGGCCTTTTATTTTTTCTTATTCGAGTGTCACTAATGAGTCTTTGGAAGACTAAATATGCGACTGGCGACAAAATTATATTCCTGGTATCTTTGATAAGTTATTGTCTTTCATTGTAATTTCAATTTAAAAGAAACTTTACTATATCATAGTCAAAAGCGCCAGTAAAGGTTGGGAATTATTTAGTGAGATCATAAGCATACTTTAGTCAACAGCAATGGGATTCAAGTTGTTTTGCTGCATATGCATTACGAAATATTGAAATGACGGAATAATGTTTACAAAAATATTTGACTACCTTGTGGAGAATAAGATATTACCAAAATTTATATATTGAACATAGTATATTGACTTAACATCCTCTTCACAGTCTTTATTTATAAAATAATGCTTCCTAACATGAAAGTATGTAACATACCAGAACGGCTATCCGCATGGCTTCTCGCAATCATGACGTCACCATACAGGACAAATAAACTAAACACAACAGCAAACATATTCAGCATGTTTAGTGGAATGAAGAATGGAGAACCAAGCAGCATGTTGATTTATATAGAAATGAGCTTAAATTTCATTTAATGGTGGCAACAGATGTTTTTGTTGTTTTCAAAGTATCAATTTAAAATGCGAGACTTTTGATACATATTACAAGTTTAAAATACTAGTGTAAGTCACGAGACTATAAATGTTAGTACGTGCAGCTGTGTTATTCTATTTTATTTGCTTTGTGTTTGAACAAGTAACTAGTCCTTTATTGAGAAAAAGGTCTAAAGCTTCTGCCTTTCAGGCATTAAAATCAATTTTGGACAGAAAATCCCGTTCATTTTTACCTTGAATAGGTTGCTATGAATCTGTTCTAGGGTATGATTGAACGAGATTTTCTGAAACTTTTATCGGCATTTTAAACGCAATATGGCTGTTTATATCTTAAAAAAACTGTATTCACTCCCCTTTAATTCAAAGAATGACAAAAAGTAAATTAACAATTGTAAAAATAATGTAATTAGACCAGACCATTTTATCACAGCTTACAATCCTCTTTTCCTTGAATGTGACCTACCGAGTTATTCTTACCTTGAACAGGTTGCTATGAACCTGTTCTAGATATGATTGAACGAGATTTTCTCTCCGAAATTGATTTTAATGTCTGAAAGTTTTATCGGCATTTTAAACGTAGAATGGCTGTTTATATTTTTAACAAACCTGTTCGTGCATTTTTCATTGTTATTCAACTCAAAATAATTATCTAAGATACCTAGGACGATCTCATTTCATAAAGGATCTCTTTTGTTTACCTTTTGTACCTCAAACTTATTAACCCGGTTTAGGTCTATAAGTTGAGGTTCAATTTACTAAAAGTTAATCGGGCATGACTAATTAGACACGACCTCTTAGAATCAGGGGGTCCAAAATGGGATCGGGAAAAACAGCCAGCGAAATACCATAATTTACAATTCCAGGGAATCAAAGCGCTTTTGGTTGATTTAATATCTCTTGTCAATAATCAGACGGTATTTGAGTGTAAATACAAACTGTCCAAAACCGATAAATCTTGGCTGCAATAGGAATTTACAAAATAAGTCCAGATCTCATTTACTTATAGTGGTCGTTATTGTTTTTAAATTCATGTCGTTTTGTTTTTGGCATTTGTCTACCGTGGAGAAAACAGAGGGGGCGGGGTGGGGGGTGGGGGCTAATAGCTTAACTTACGATCTTTATTATGGTTCAACTTTATTCTAGTACGGCATACGTTTGACCTCTAGCCAACGCTCTATCTTCTTAAAGTGTAACTCTAAAATTATTATCATTTGCTTCAGGTCGATGCACTTTGCATCTCGTCGTGAATATGCATGACATATTTGCCACTTGACTTTAAGGGAACAATCAGCCTTATTTAGTGATGTTTAATCATTAGTCTTCACTTGATAGTTGTCTCAAACAGTTTTCCAATTTTTGTATATTTGATTTTTATTTAGAGTGGGTGACGCATATTCGCCGCAAAATTCGTTCATTTCTACCTACATCCGACCTACATTCGAATATTTGAAACTTTTTATGTAGGTTTCAGAAAGTTTACTATATGAAAAAAAATGTTTGATAAAGGAATTCTCTTCAAAACATTGTTTAAATGTTATAAAAATGAACGCAAACTCAAGAGGAAATCAAGTTGTTCTTGTACCATGGGGGACACATTTTCGCCGCAATGTATGATATGACCATCCTCATTATCCTTGTATATTATAAAAACACATCAAATTTTGTCACCTAGACGAGACTGCCGTCGTTGTACGGTTCAATATATGAGTTATTGCCACTCAATGAAGATTTTTTTTCTGTTTTACTCCCCTCCTCCTAGTTTGGATGGATAGGATACAATGTAACCCCTGATGTGGACTTTTTTAAACGTAAATTTTAGCATTTCTTTCCTTATTTTTCTCTTTGCATTTAATTTTTTTAACACTAAATAACGTAGTCCACATCAGGGGTTACATTGTATCCTATCCATCCAAACTAGGAGGAAGGGAGTAAAACAGAAAAAAAATCTTCATTGAGTGGCAATTTAACTCATATATTGAACCGTACAACGACGGCAGTCTCGTCTAGGTGACAAAATTTGATGTGTCAAAGTTTTTTTTTTTATATCTAGTATTATAGTTGTCATAAAAGCATGTTTAAAAAATGTTGGCAACAATTTATATAAGGATTCAACTTATTTTGGCCGTTTTATTTATACTTTATATATTGTCTTACTGATTGGTTTTGTTATTTAAATTTTTTTCATCTTCAATTATCCTTGCAAAAGGCGCAAAAATGTGTTAATTTCAGCCATTAGACTTATTTGAAAATTTAGCTGACCTTTGTTGTTTTTTAAAGATTTCAATCATTTATCTTGTGCGTAGATCATATTTCCCCTTCAAAGAGTATTCAAATTGTTCTTAAACGTATAAATAGAGTGAAACTCTCACTACAACAGATATCGGATATACGCAATTTCTATTTAGACCGGACGAAGCAGCGTATTTATACATCCGAACAGCCAAAAGGACGCACCCCTTCAGCAAGGATATACCTTCGGACGGGAGAAGTCTAGAGATGTCAATATTTCTATACCCAAGTCAGTTTTTTGGTTTTAATAAAAGGAGATAAAGGTATACATTAATGCGACAGCAACCCAACGTCACAGACAAATCAAAACATTAAGAGTCAACATACCGTCTTTTGTAATAGAAAGATGCCTATACAGAATAATAAGCTCAAAACCGCACATGACTAAAAAAATAATATTTACCGTCAAAGATTATCCCAACAGGCACATTTTGTATAATATCATTTACCGTCAAAGATTTCACAACAGGCACATTTTGTATAATATCAATTACCGTCAAAGATATCCCAACAGGCACAAGTGTTTGGTTGAAAAATATCACCTGCCCTTTTTTTAATTTCGATCGGTGGAAATTAAAGAAGGTGTAATATAAACCAGTAGATGAAAAACACTTCACTGTATAGTAACGGCAAAATAAATGATGATAATGGATGACGTCCAGTGGCAAATTAAATGCATATTCAGGACGAAAACATGTAAATATAGTATGTCTCATTGACGTATGCTCGCAGCTAATTTACAGCTCACGCCCCTCAGATATGAGAAGTCTTCATCTAAGACGTATATATATTATGATGTAGTCCATAATACAGTTTATGCATGATATGATTACTTTTATACTTGTATATCAAAATTTCGTTGTTTGAACCCTAGTCGAAAAGTAAGTCATTCTAACAGAGTTATTAAAACGTTATCGTCATGAATATGAATTAAATATTTCCAAGGGGACATAACTTTATGTTAATCAAATCATCACTTTAAATCTAAATAGAAAACCCTCTATGACGAACCTTACGAATTAGAAATTGTCATAGAGAATTATCTAACTTATTGTGTTTTCCTGTCATAAAATCCATAATAATAGAACTTCAAAAATCAATGTTTATGTCCACGTTGGTCATGCTTACTTAACTATGCAACAGATTGTAAAACATAAAATTCACATTCAATTGTTTTATTTCTTTAAAACTATATAGAGCATGTGACATATTTATATATTTGAATATTTATATAGAAGTGTTATCATTTGTCAGCAAAAAGTTCAGAATTTGGCAATTAAACCAGAAAAAGACAAGAAAGTACAGCTATTCATATTGCCATACAAAAGCAGTGATAAGGTATCAATTGGATGACAGAAAATAGACGCAATTGAGATTTCATTCCAAATCATATAATTACAAACATCTACTGCATCTGAAAAATTTGAGATATCTTCGGGACTGAAGCCAACATCTTGCATTTAATTCGTATGAATGTAACACATGTCGACGTATAAAATAATACCAAATTAATCATCTTACACAATAATCTCACATAGCTCGTGTACTTTGTGAAAACAGTGTTTAAAAAAAAAATGAAAGAAAGGAAGACATCATTGGAATAACTATGGACCAATATAAATCAGACTTCTTTCTCAATCATTTTCCATTTTTAAAATAAATTTCATATAGATAACTGGTATAAATAGAATGAAAACAAAAATTTACATTATTCTGGTTGCTGAACAAAATGAACTGTTGAAAAGAGTTAAATTAAAAGTCCCAGATGTGCACGTGTTTCATTCCTTACTTTCTGAATGAAACAGACTACTTTTCGCCAAATGCACGACAAAAAGTTACGGTTGGAGGGTCTGAGACGGGGACCGCCGGGAGGCAGGAATCAAGCATATGATTTTATTGGCCTCAGCATAGACCTTTTTACATATTTTGGGGGATAGCATAAAATGTAACAAGGATATTAAGGTATTTCTTACATTAAATAAGTACACTCTGCAACATTGTAGACAAGATTTCAATTTATGACAAAAATCTATTTTTTTGTTGCTCTTATATAATTGCTGATATTTTTTTTCTATTTACAGTTTCTCTCTGTCTTCTTAATTGTTGTCAAAAACACAAAAAAAGGCTACAAAAAAAATCGTCATTTAAGGAAAATGACTCCTATAAAGAATCTACAAATGATTTGGCTAAATTTGTATTATTTGTAGATCTTAATTGTCTTGCTGGTCATATTTGCTATTTAAAGTGTATATCTATCTATTATGGTTTTTAATATAAAAGGAAAAAACATTCAATATCAGTAGAAATCGTCATTAAAGAGAAACAACTCCAATAAGTAGTCGAGTAACGATTTCGGCCAAATGACTTATTTGTGAATCTTGTCTTGCTGATTATTTTGGGTTTTTAAAGTTCCTATCTATCTATTATAATTTTGAAAATATTAGGTAAAAACGTAAAATAAAATGGTAAAATTCGTCATTAAAAGGCCATAACTCCAATAACGAGTAACCAGCGGATTTCACGATCGGCTATTTTGACTTGTTTGTAGATCCTGTCTTATTGATCATGTTTTACTTTGGAGTTTCTCTCTATCTATTATAGTTTTCAAGATAAAGGGCGAAAATGAAAACAATTGGTTAAATATGTAATTGAAAGGCAATATGTTTAATTGACATGTCTTTGTCTTTTCGACGTCTTTCGTCCTTTGCCAAGGCAGTTTCTCTACGACGTCTTCCGTCCATTGCCAAGGCAGTTTCTCTGCGACGTCTTTCGTCCTTTGCCAAGGCAGTTACTCTACGACGTCTTTCGTCCTTTGCCAAGGCAGTTTCTCTACGACGTCTTTCGTCCTTTGCCAAGGCAGTTACTCTACGACGTCTTTCGTCCTTTGCCAAGGCAGTTTCTCTACGACGTCTTTAGTCCTTTTCCTACTAAGACAGTTTCTCTTCGACATATGAGTTTTGAATGTCCCCTTTTGTCTTCTGTCACTTTTTATACTAGTCATTTTAGATGAGGTATGTTCTTCGGTAATATTTCATAGAAGGTCAACAATATTCGGTATATAACTTGATTTTAGAAGTGTATATCAGTATTATATGTCATATAGCATATCATTCACTTTCGAGTGGTCTGTTTAAAATTTCAGAAGATATGTTCTGCAATAACCGTTCATTATACCATCTTAACAATACTAGGTACTTCATATGACATCTCATTCACCTCGAACTCAATTTTACTATTCAGTGACCAGGTTCACGTTTTGGATAAAGTCCCAAGCTGCTGCAGGCGTGATATTTTAGTAGTGTCTTCTTTTTTTATCTAAATGTAGTAGTAATGTTTAACAGCTGATAAAAAATCCAATTACTTTTTGTAAATTTTAATATCTAAAAATCTATTAATAATGTTTACACTAAGGGTTGTTTTTCTTGCTTTTCGGGTTCCTGAAAGTCATACAGTTTGTTTCTACAGCGATGATCAAGGAAATCTTCTTGATAAAGTGCATTGTATACGAAATACGAAAGTAAAAAAGGATACACCATGCACAATACCATGCATGGAATAATATCTTGGGGCAATAATATGTAATGAAAGTTAATAATCCAAGATATTGGTCGCACGATCCAAATCACAAACAACATAAACATTAAGATATATTGCTGTAGCCTAATAGTATTATCACACGTAATACACAGCTGGTGATGTCGACCTGAAAAAATGAAAATTTTGAAAATTATAAGAAAGATGGAACAGATGTGAAGATGAGAGACATGCACTGCTGAAATTTTGAAAAAAAAACCTTCTCATTGGATAAAGAATGACATATCATAACAATAAAGATTGCTTTCATTGCTTTTGGCGGGCCGCGGTGGCCGAGTGGTCTAAATAGTTGAACTACTGTATCGTTAGAATGTCAACACTGAGATTGTTAGTTCGAATTCTACACGAAGCATGTGTGTTCGACTCCAATCTTAATTGAGTAGGATTGTCAGTTTTCCTACCGAAGGTCGGTGGTTCTCTTCGGGTATTCCGGCTTCCTCCACCAAATAGCACAATCATGTTGAAAGTGGTGTTAAATACCAATCAATCAATCAATCATTGTTTTGGTAATACAAGCTTTTGCCAAATTAGAATTTCTGGCATGTTAAAGCTTGCTATGCCGTTGTTATTTCATAACTTAGATTTTTCTCTGAACAGAATTCATTATTCTATCTTTTGTGTACCTAAGATTAATCCTATGATCGAGCTAAGATTAATCCTATGATCGAGCTGAAAAAAAATGGAAGGATTTAGTTCTTATATAATAGTAAGTAAAATCATGCCAGAAATGCATGTGTTGTCTAAGGATCAAAACAATGATCTTAAGTAGAGGTTAAGGTTGTGATTGGTCTTCTCTTGGTGGCAGATCTTCGATAGTCTCTAACCAATTTTTACTTCCTGTTGGGAATGTTTGTATATAATACTTTACGTATTGTATTATGAACATTTTGTAGTATGCTGACCTTGAGTTTTTCGTTAGGTTTCGGTCTTACTTACGTATAATCACAGCTCATTTATAGCAGTAAAAAAATTCCAAACAATGCAACAATATAAAAAAAACATTTCAAAGTTGAACGAAATACATGTACATCAATTTACCTTGTTGATCGCTGAGAACACTTTCCTTTATATTCCAGAGTAGGATCACCGTGATAGGAGCATAGATGAAAAAATATTCAAAAATATAGTACAAGAATGAACTGTTACATTTCAAAACAGATATTGTGAACATACTAGTAATGTCAAATATCCCACAATTACTTTCCAGATCGCTATCATTAAAAAACTTGTCAGATGAGTTTAACGTAACATTATTGTGTATATATTGGTGACTGGAGCTGCGAACAACTCCGATTCCAAAAACTAATAGCAAAACCGTGGAAATGTAAACTACATACGCAAATGTTATTTTCCGGAATTCTTGTGAACATTCTTTTGTGCACATCACGGCAAACGTAAATAGAAAACAGGCGACGGGGAAGGTGTAGACATCAAACACGAAATCACTTATTCCATATATATGATAGGTTGATTTCAACCAGGTCATTGACGCAAAGCCTTGATGAATAAATCCGACAAACAAAGCAAGGAACAAACTGTTTGAACTTCTTTGGTTATACTTAAAGAAGTTTGATAGATATGCGATGATTATCAGCATTCCTAAACCAAAAGACAAAATAACGTAGGCTAGTTGAAAATATTCCTGGAAACTTCTAAAAGAGTTGATTGGAGGAAAATCGAACATTCTTTTCCCTCCGCTTTGTATTGACGTACTGGTCTATTGGTACTACAAATAGAGTAAAAGTTTAAAACGATTATGTGATTACAATTTTCAAAACGGCCAAACACTTGACACACGTGAATGGGAAACTACGACACAGGTCAGTTGATTTATTTGGAATGATCTCACGAGCAAACGCAGTTTTGCATAATTTAGATTGGAGTCCGAGCAAAGTGTTCAATTTGGGAACAATCCCGACGTCCTTTGTAGATTGTTACATTACCGAATGAAACTTATATCCAATTTGTACTTAACACCATGAGCAACACGACGGGTGTCAAATGTGAAGGAGGATCTGCCTACTCTCCCTGGGCACCAAGGATAACCCCTAGTTTTTTTTGTGGGAGTTCGTTTTCTTTGTAATGCTCTGTGGATAACGTTGTTCGTCTTATCATTGTTTTTCTGTTCTCGTTTTTTGTTGTCATGCCGTTGTCAGTTCCTCTTCTTCGACTTAACAGTTTTAAACGTGCCTGTATGTGTATCTTCCACCTCTTTTTTACAAAGTCTACCAGTTCACATTGGCCCTTTCGGCAAAAACGTTATAATCCCACTAGTGTATTATGTCAGTCTAGTACAAAGAAGGGTAATTATAATGTCATTTGCAGCTTACACCCATATCGGTCAAGCAATAACATACAATATAATACGACAGGTAAACAGTTGAGTGATAAAAAAATTGAAAACAACACGTTTAATAATTTCATGCGTACGAAGCGCTTTTCTGGATTTACCTTCATCAGGAACGATCAAAGCCAAACATTTGAAATCCGAGGGATGTATAAGTACCGAAACAGTTGAAGAGCTATTATGACAAATACATAAAACAAAGAGCCAAATTCATCTAAGGTCAACTTTGCCTGAGGGAGTTGAAACCTTAGTTTCTTTATAATTTCAAAATTTATAAACGGACATTTTTAGAAAAGTTTGTTATAAATCATGTCAGTACCGAAGTACTGACTACTGAGCTGATGATACCTTCGGGGACTGATAGTCCAGCAGCAGAGGTATCGACCCAGTGATGTAAAAAATTGAAAACAACACGTTTAATAATTTCATGCGTCCGAAGCACTTTTCTGGATTTACCTTCATCAGGAACGCTCAAAGCCAAACATTTGAAATCCGTGGGATGTATAAGTACCGAAACAGTTGAAGAGCTATATGACAAAATAAAGTAATAGTATATTCATATTATGTCGTCCAAAATATGCATGAGGTATCTCCCAGTGAGCTGTTACCCTCTAACTTGAATCCGAGTCGAGAAGTGTGTCATTCTTGCAGAGTTATTAAAACTTGCCGTTATAAATATAAATCAAATATTCACAAGAGGACATAGTAAGTTTATCAAATCATTTTCACTTTAAAAAAAAATAGAAAACCATCTATGAAGAACCTTATGAATTATAAATTGCCAAAGAAATATATCTAACTTACCGTCCTGTGTTCTTCTCTCATAAAGTCCATTTATGATATAGCTTCAAAAATCAATGTATATGTTCAAGTCGTTCATGCACAGTTGAATATGCAACAGACTGTACAATATCGTATTCACATTAATTTTTTTAATTTATTTCAAACTGTATAAAGCTTGGCTGTGATATATTTATATATTTGAATATTTAACATCTAGACGTGTTTATCAATTATCAGCAAAAAGTTCAGAATTTAACAATTAAACCAGAAAAAGACTATAAAAAAAAGAATACGCCATATAGCTAGTGACATATTTATATATTTACATAGAAGTGTTATCATTTATCAGCAAAAAGTTCAGAATTTTGCAATTAAAAAGACAAGATACACTGAACTGCGGCCAAGCTTAGCGAAAGGTCGTGCAACATAATCAGTCAAACAAACTTTATTAGATTAACTCGTTAAGGAACGATCGTTTTCATTGGTCAATTCAAACCTTCGACCTCACACCTGCGAAAATAGAACACGCGTACTAAAAAGCTGAATGGACTGATCAGTATTCACGTAGCCGGTCAAGGTCGTTAAAAACTTCCATCTTCGTATTCCCGAACATGATTGTGTTCTTAATAACCCCATGGCAATTCTAGCTTTTATACATGTGCATGTAAAATTTTAAACTTTAATCTTAACAGTCACGTCGAAATATCTAATTCAACTGTCTCCTCTCAATTGGTCCTGGATTAAGGGAGCTACCATTTTATTTTGATTGGGGGTGAAGGACTTGGATGAAATATTTTGTCCTGCATTTTTTTTTAGTCGTTATCTCTGTCCTGTCTTTCTATTTTTCAGTCTGTTAGGTCCTGACTATATTTATTCGTTTATCCTGATTTTTTACATAAATCGTCATCCTGCCTTTTTTTTTTGTCAAGTTGCTCACCCTGCCTTATCTTTTATTCAATGGACTTGATGAATTAACGTTGTACTTGAAATGAAACCGTACTTAACTACAAAAATAACCAAATTACATACTAAAGATATTGCTCGATTTTTATAGTAAATGGGTTTGTGTTATAAACTGTCATGTTCATTATTCATATTCTTTCATAAGTTTTAGGATAGTGTGATTTTTTTTCTGATTTAGTTTACTTGATTTTGAACAAAAAATCCCGAAATTCTAAGTAAATTTAATAATGTATTTTATTTTATCCTTATATTTTTCATAGTTCGGTACAAGTGCTGCATGCATAAAGAATATTACTTAACACAAATTATTAGTATAATATTTCGACCCCACTATTTGAAATTCACAAAATACTTATTTAATTATTTCGTCCAAAAATCATTGTTTTTTACGTTCGTAGTAACGTAGTACATTCCATTGTCGGTCACCTGTGTCAATTCACGTGCACACAACAATTGTTGTTGTATTTAAATCTTTCGGCCAATGAAATGAGACGTTACAAGTTGTTTGTTTGTGATACGCCAGAATGTTATCAATGAATTATCAATCGCCAAACTTGACTGCATTTCAGTGTAGTACAGCTAAATGTAAGATGATTTGCAGAGGAAGTACAACACTGTCAAACAAAACTGGGGCAATTCCATAGCTCATAATGGGCACAATGAATAATCAAATATATGATGCAATACCAAACTTGCGAACTGGAAGTCTTATAAAGATATCGGACTACCATCATTCAACTCAGGACCACTTGACCTTTCAAAATGTCACAAGGTCAAGGTTATAGTACCTTTTGAAGGTCAAGGTAAAATTTCCTCATGACCTTGGCATTGAAGGTCTTTAATTACTGATATTTTTTGCAGTATATGTTACCATTTCAAAGATATACACAAAACATTATACCATGTGTACTTTAAAGAATTATCTCGTCGTAACTTTTGAGCGGATGGTCGGACAGTTTTGGGTCTTATGTATAAAATGTAGAGCTCTTCGAGAGGAGCGTTTTATATGCTGTGTGTATGCAGCTATCTCTTATCGTTTTCTTAAATATTCAAGCTTGAAATTTAAGCGTAAAAAAGCATGCAAATGAAAGGTCACATGAGCTGAAGATTATTGGTGAAGGTCCCATGTCTCTACAACTTCCGGTTCTCGAAATATAATTTTTCAAAAACTGTGTATAATATTTGCATAATATTTCAAGAGAAATAGCTCTTATAAGGGTTGATAACAACATAATTGTGTATGTTTATTAACATTGACATCTGTTCCTGTACATATTGCCATTTTCAGATCGATTCCATCTGTAACAATTTTTAAGCTATATGCAAATTGTTTCAAGGGGATATAATTCTAAAAGGGATGATAAAATCCTACGCTGCCTCATCTGGTAATACTTCATGATGAGGTCTATCGATGGTCCAAATTTGGTCCTGATAACTTCAAGAGAATCGGGGGAGGCCATATAATCACATAATCATTAATTATTTTTTTAAACAAGATAATCAAATAATCAAAAATACAGTCCTTTGTCTGGTAATCAAATAATCACTATAAAAACGACCAAGTATACACATAATCAAAAATCCCATGAGGAGGCTCATTTAGATGAGACAGATTATAGCACGGACCGTGCTGCACGTGACATATTACATCATTACACAAAGGGACACAACTCTCACGACTTTACAATAAAACACATACGACCATAGTGATACATAGTCTACATATGATATATATATATATACATAACATCTTTGGAAATACTTCATTTGTATTCAGTTTTCATGATTATAGAAAAAAATAGCATATTTAAATTTGTAATATAATATTGAGAATTGAAATGGGGAATGTGTCAAAGAGACAACAACCCGGCGACCAAAGAGCAGAAAACAGTCGAAGGTCACCAAGCGAGGAAATCCCGCACCCGGAGGTGGGCTTCAGCTGGCCCCTAAACATGTGTACTAGTTCAATGAGAATGGACGTCACACTAAACTCCAAAACATATACATGAACTAAAATTAAAAACATACAAGACTAACAAAGGCCAGAGGCTCCTGACTTGGGACAGGCGCAAAAATGCTGCGGGGTTAAACATGTTTTGTGAGATCTCAACCCTCCCACTATACCTCTAGCCAATGTAGAATAAACAAACACACAGCAATACGTACATTTAAACTCAGTTTAAAAGAAGTCCGAGTCCGATGTCAGAATAGGTAACAAAAGAAACTAAGCAAAATGACAATAATACATAAATTATTAAAGGACTACTAGCAGTTACTGGCATGCCAGCTCCAAACCTCAATTAAACTGATTGACAGATTATGTCTTCATCATATGAAAATCAAGCACAATCCCTCCAGTTAGGGGTTTAGTATCATACCATCATAAACTGAAAATATATGAGAAGAATGCAACCCGTATCATGCCAACAACTGGTTTTAGAATAAATGTGTTTATTTCCGATGCAAAGACCCTATGAGTGAATCATATATTAATACCAAAATATGCCATCTTTAATGACCTGACAACAGTATCGTAACTATATCCCTTCTGAATAAGTCTGTTTAAAGGTTTGTTTAATATACTTATCTCATCAGCACAACATTAAAAAAATTTGAAAAGCACCATAATGCTGATTGCTACCGTGTGTTCTGATCGTACAGAATGTGGTCAACTTGAATTTGACGACACTACCACTATACTGGTACACAATTAAGAAATTATGTTCCAATATTGTGATATTTTTTGGAGAGAAAAAATAATACAAACCTTCAACTGTGATGTTCACTGAAAAAAATGGTAAACGAGCAACAATCACAAATTAATAGGGCTTTTTTGTCACTTTTAATCAATTTCAAATTGAATGAATAAGATAAAATCATCAAGTTGCGATAAATTCCGTATTTAGAGATAAATTAAATTGACAGTGTAAGAAATTGATCATCAGCATTGTTAGAACATAGATATATCTATTAGATGACTAATTGTCTACTTTTGACTTTACAAAAGATATATTTGGAACCATAAAGCAAGTCTATTAACATAACACTTTGACAGCTGGTTATCTGAACGATGACATAATCATTAATAACACATTCTGTTTACAAAGTTGTTAATCTATATAATAGTTATTTATTTGCTATATTATGTTTTGTTTTTGTCACAAACTAAATATGTTTATATGATAAATGTATGTTTATAAATATGTTATTATTAATTATTATTATTATTATTATATAAAAGTTTAAGAAAAATCTTAAAGTTCATAGTTAAAGAAAATTTTTCTCATATCTGAATTGTGACTCTTTGTCCTCTCCTGTATATTTTGTTCTTGAAACTTTCTGTCCTATATATATATAAAAAACACGGCGGTCGCTATACATGATCTCCCAACTTATCTCCGGAAAAATTTGACGTCACAAGGCTACACTGTCCCATGACGCATTTTCTCCCGAATGACCCAATGCAGGTCAACCATGCCACTCCATTCATAAAATCGCACTCCAACTGGTGCTTTTTCCCGCAAAAAAATTGATGTCGCAAAACAAACATCTTCACGTCACAATGTCCCATGACACGTCTTTTTTTCCCCGAATGACCTCAAGTCAACCGGACACTTTAATTATTTATAAAATCGAACTTCAAATATTCAAATCTAGTGAATACGTGACAACTCGGACCAGACAAGTCGGACGAAGACAACTCGGTGCAATCTTGAAGACAACTCGGACGTCCACTTTTAAATACAACTCTGACCAGTTTTAAAGACAACTCGGACCACTTTTAAAGACAACTCCGACAAGTGTTAAAGACAACTCGGACCACTTTTAAAGACAACTCGGACCAATTTTAAAGACAACTCGGGCCAGTTTAAAAGACCATTAAGACCACGCATGAAGGCAATGCAGAAATGTTGGAAAAGGGGTCGTAATGGAGGTACCTTCAAGACGAATAGCGTAGAACGTTATAAACGGTACTTTTTTTTGTTTTGACGTTAACGATTCATTTTCGAGCGGGACGATATAGAACAACTTTGTGAAGTAATTAAAATGAAAGATAGTACCCATATTTGCCCGTTAGGTCAATATAGGCCCA